GTTTCATACACATATTGAGCAATCAGTTTGGATATCCAGTTTCATACACATATTGAGCAATCAGTTTGAAAGTATAGTTTCATACACATAATGACCAATCAGTTTAAATATCAAGTTTCATACACAAATTGAGCAATCAGTTTGGATATCCAGTTTCATACACTTATTGAGCAATCAGTTTGGATATCTAGTTTCATATACATATTGACCAATCAGTTTGAAAGTATAGTTTCATACACATATTGAGCAATCAGTTTGGATATCTAGTTTCATATACATATTGACCAATCAGTTTGGATATCTAGTTGCATACACATATCGAGCAATCAGTTTGGATATCTAGTTGCATACACATATTGAGCAATCAGTTTGCATATCTAGTTTCATATACATATTCAGCAATCAGTTTGCATATCCAGTTTCATATAGATATTCAGCAATCAGTTTGGATATCTAGTTTCATATACATATTGAGCAATCAGTTTGGATATCTAGTTTCATATACATATTGAGGAATCACTTTGAAAGTATAGTTTCATACACATATTGAGCAATCAGTTTGGATATCTAGTTTCATATACATATTGAGCAATCAGTTTGGATATCTAGTTTCATACACATATTGAGCAATCAGTTTGGATATCTAGTTCCATATACATATTGAGCAATCAGTTTGAAAGTATAGTTTCATACACATATTGAGCAATCAGTTTGGATATCTAGTTTCATATACATATTGAGCAATCAGTTTGGATATCTAGTTTCATACACATATTGACCAATCAGTTTGCATATCTAGTTTCATACACATATTCAGCAATCAGTTTGGATATCTAGTTTCATATACATATTGAGCAATCACTTTGAAAGTATAGTTTCATACACATATTGAGCAATCAGTTTGAAAGTATAGTTTCATACACATATTGAGCAATCAGTTTGGATATCTAGTTTCATATACATATTGAGCAATCAGTTTGGATATCTAGTTTCATACACATATTGACCAATCAGTTTGGATACCTAGTTTCATATACATATTGAGCAATCAGTTTGGATATCTAGTTTATATATACATATTTAGCAATCAGTTTGAAAGTATAGTTTCATACACATATTGAGCAATCAGTTTGGATATCTAGTTTCATATACATATTGAACAATCAGTTTGGATATCTAGTTTCATATACATATGGAGCAATCAGTTAGAAAGTATAGTTTCATACACATATTGAGCAATCAGTTTAAATATCTAGTTTGATACACATTTTGACCAATCAGTTTGGATATTTAGTTTCATACACATATTGAGCAATCAGTTTGGATATCTAGTTTGATACACATATTGACCAATCAGTTTGGATATCTAGTTTGATACACATATTGACCAATCAGTTTAGATATCTAGTTTCATACACAGATTGAGCAATCAGTTTGGATATCTAGTTTCATACACATATTGACCAATCAGTTTGGATATCTAGTTTCATACACATATCGAGCAATCAGTTTGGATATCTAGTTTCATACACATATTGAGCAATCAGTTTGGATATCAAGTTTCATACACATATTGAGCAATCAGTTTAAATATCTAGTTTGATACACATTTTGACCAATCAGTTTGGATATCTAGTTTGATACACATATTGACCAATCAGTTTGGATATCTAGATTGATATACATATTCAGCAATCAGTTTGGATATCTAGTTTCATACACATATTGAGCAATCAGTTTGGATATCTAGTTTCATACACATATTGACCAATCAGTTTGGATATCTAGTTTCAAATACATATTGAGCAATCAGTTTGGATATCCAGTTTCATACACATATTGAGCAATCAGTTTGAAAGTATAGTTTCATACACATAATGACCAATCAGGTTAAATATCAAGTTTCATACACATATTGAGCAATCAGTTTGGATATCCAGTTTCATACACATATTGAGCAATCAGTTTGAAAGTATAGTTTCATATACATATTGAGCAATCAGTTTGGATATCTAGTTTCATAAACATATTGAGCAATCAGTTTGGATATCTAGTTTCATATACATATTGAGCAATCAGTTTGAAAGTATAGTTTCATACACATATTGAACAATCAGTTTGGATATCTAGTTTAATATACATATTGAGCAATCAGTTAGAAAGTATAGTTTCATACACATAATGACCAATCAGTTTGGATATCCAATTTCATACACATATTGACCAATCAGTTTGGATATCTAGTTTCATATACATATTCAGCAATCAGTTTGAAAGTATAGTTTCATACACATATTGAGCAATCAGTTTGGATATCTAGTTTCAAATACATATTGACCAATCAGTTTGGATATCTAGTTTCATATACATATGGAGCAATCAGTTTGGATATCTAGTTTCATACACATATTGAGCAATCAGTTTGGATATCCAGTTTCATACACATGTTGAGCAATCAGTTTGGATATCTAGTTTCATACACATATTGACCAATCAGTTTGGATATCTAGTTTCATACACATATTGAGCAATCAGTTTGCATATCTAGTTTCATATACATATTCAGCAATCAGTTTGCATATCTAGTTTCATATACATATTCAGCAATCAGTTTGGATATCTAGTTTCATACACATATTGACCAATCAGTTTGGATATCTAGTTTCATATACATATTGAGGAATCACTTTGAAAGTATAGTTTCATACACATATCGAGCAATCAGTTTGGATATCTAGTTTAATATACATATTGAGCAATCAGTTTGGATATCTAGTTTCATACACATATTGAGCAATCAGTTTGGATATATAGTTTCATATACATATTGAGCAATCAGTTTGAAAGTATAGTTTCATATACATATTGAGCAATCAGTTTGGATATCTAGTTTCATATACATATTGAGCAATCAGTTTGGATATCTAGTTTCATACACATATTGACCAGTCAGTTTGGATATCTAGTTTCATACACATATTCAGCAATCAGTTTGGATATCTAGTTTCATATACATATTGAGCAATCACTTTGAAAGTATAGTCTCATACACATATTGAGCAATCAGTTTGAAAGTATAGTTTCATACACATATTGAGCAATCAGTTTGGATATCTAGTTTCATATACATATTGAGCAATCAGTTTGGATATCTAGTTTCATACACATATTGACCAATCAGTTTGGATATCTAGTTTCATACACATATTCAGCAATCAGTTTGGATATCTAGTTTCATATACATATTGAGCAATCACTTTGAAAGTATAGTCTCATACACATATTGAGCAATCAGTTTGAAAGTATAGTTTCATACACATATTGAGCAATCAGTTTGGATATCTAGTTTCATATACATATTGAGCAATCAGTTTGGATATCTAGTTTCATACACATATTGACCAATCAGTTTGGATATCTAGTTTCATACACATATTCAGCAATCAGTTTGGATATCTAGGTTCATATACATATTGAGCAATCACTTTGAAAGTATAGTCTCATACACATATTGAGCAATCAGTTTGAAAGTATAGTTTCATACACATATTGAGCAATCAGTTTGGATATCTAGTTTCATATACATATTGAGCAATCAGTTTGGATATCTAGTTTCATACACATATTGACCAATCAGTTTGGATATCTAGTTTCATATACATATTGAGCAATCAGTTTGGATATCTAGTTTATATATACATATTGAGCAATCAGTTTGAAAGTATAGTTTCATACACATATTGAGCAATCAGTTTGGATATCTAGTTTCATATACATATTGAGCAATCAGTTTGGATATCTAGTTTCATACACATATTGAACAATCAGTTTGGATATCCAGTTTCATACACATATTGAGCAATCAGTTTGGATATCTAGTTTCATATACATATTGAGCAATCAGTTAGAAAGTATAGTTTCATACACATATTGAGCAATCAGTTTGGATATCTAGTTTCATACACATATTGAACAATCAGTTTGGATATCCAGTTTCATACACATATTGAGCAATCAGTTTGGATATCTAGTTTCATATACATATTGAGCAATCAGTTTGGATATCCAGTTTCATATACATATTGAGCAATCAGTTTGGATATCTAGTTTCATACACATATTGAACAATCAGTTTGGATATCTAGTTTCATATACATATTGAGCAATCAGTTTGGATATCCAGTTTCATACACATGTTGAGCAATCAGTTTGGATATCTAGTTGCATACACATATCGAGCAATCAGTTTGGATATCTAGTTTGATACACATATTGAGCAATCAGTTTGGATATCCAGTTTCATACACATATTGAGCAATCAGTTTAAATATCTAGTTTGATACACATATTGACCAATCAGTTTAGATATCTAGTTTCATACACAGATTGAGCAATCAGTTTGGATATCTAGTTTCATACACATATTGACCAATCAGTTTGGATATCTAGTTTCATACACATATCGAGCAATCAGTTTGGATATCTAGTTTCATATACATATTGAGCAATCAGTTTGGATATCTAGTTTCATACACATATTGAGCAATCAGTTTAAATATCTAGTTTGATACACATATTGACCAATCAGTTTGGATATCTAGTTTCATACACAGATTGAGCAATCAGTTTGGATATCTAGTTTCATACACATATTGAGCAATCAGTTTGGATATCTAGTTTCATACACATATTGACCAATCAGTTTGGATATCTAGTTTCATACACATATTGAGGAATCAGTTTGGATATCCAGTTTCATACACATATTGAGCAATCAGTTTGAAAGTATAGTTTCATACACATAATGACCATGTCACAGCAACAGATTGAGTGGACTACGGCGTAACACAGCATTTCTTGGACAGAGTTGTGAGTACGGACCCTCGAGATGAAAACCCAGTGTCCGTTCCCTATACTTTAGCCAAATCTTTGTGAAATCGATAAACACACAGAACATCGCCCCAAGTTATCCGATCAGGGGTATCATCCTGTTATCTCACCAGTTCGTTTATGGTGATGACGTTGAAGACGAGCTCGACAGTGGTGACGACATTGGGGCGACTCTTGAGGGAGTAGTTGGTGAGGAGATCCGACCGCAGCAGAGTCTCGTTGGCAACATCGAACGCCAGAGTCACGTGACCTGAAATGAAAGAAATGGATAGGAAATGGGTAGACATATGCATGTATAACAATTATAGCAATGGATAGCAATTATAGATATACCGATGGCATGTATTGAAACGTGAGTAATGATTAAGATTCAGCAAGAATATCAAATACTCAAGCTGTGTCAACATGTTTTCAACAAATTGACAAATCAAGGTTCTAATTAGATATAGTTGACAACTGAGGTCAATGTCTCAGTATAATATAACGCATTAAGTTTGCATTCAGCAATATTTCAGCAATGCCGCAGCGGCCTTGGAACAGTGAGATTCCCTTGATAGTACCTATATATGAGCAACCCCTTCACGTCGGCATACATGACAATAATCAACCAAGAAAACAACGCCAAGCACAGGTTACTGGGGGCAGTACGACCCCCGAGGTCCCTGGGTATGCTTGTTCGATTCTGAGTTCGTTTCAACAGATGTAAGTGGTATTTGTTCTCGTTCTGAAAATGTGACTGAAGCGACCTTCCACTACGGTCAGAAAGGCAAGCCCGTATGGAAGGACATCACAGTCACATATTTCGGTACAGCAGGTTTCAAAACGATGGACGTGCCCAGGAAGACCTTTGCTGATGAAGGTTGGTAGGAATTGGTTCGGAAACATGACGAAAGTCATTTCTTGAATGTATATGAAGGATTATGATAATTTTTGAGGCCGGGATTTGTGGAACATGTGCTTTGCAATTTAGTACAAAAGGGTAATGAACATGTCGTGTTTTAGAGTCAAACTTAAAGTTGATAGTACTGATGAAAGGTTTGGGCAGATTTCTACGTCAGTTAACATCCTAACCTCATATGTGTCATTATTTGATGCGTCTCTAATACCAAATTGTTTTATCAAGAGTCCGTGTAGTGATATTTATTAGTGATAAATGTAGTGTAGTGATAGATATTTACTCGGTGAAAATAAATCCCAGACTTACAAACAAGATTAATGTTTGACGTGCGAATATATCGAGAACATGACAAGTGAAGCTGATACTCTTGAGGATATAAATCTGATCACTCTGTAACTTAACGTTGTCACAATTTCTCCCATTAAAATGATTAGAAACTTAAAGCAAAGACCTTTAAGAATGAGCATGAAACTAAATTAGCTGAATCATCTCGATATAAAGTGTAAATGGAACAGATCTGGGAAGCAGGAATATAAGACACAGATACGAAATGGAAATAAACATCTAATTATTTTTGTCATTTAAAAAATAGGTATTACGCCATTACGTACTCTATTTAATAGCGTATTCTCAGACGAGGGTACAGAAATGCCATGAGAAAAAAAAGATATTTAATGACCCTGGATCGTTTTATTAGAAATCTTATACAGCAAAATGAGATTTTTACAACAGTACAAAGATACAATAACACAATAATCAAAAAGTGACTTCAAGAAAGCAAATTGAGCTTGAAGAAATTGCAAATTCAGTAAATTACATGAAAGACAATAATGTATAAAATCCCAAGGTAATCATTGTAAGAAAACTACAATTGGTGCACACCACACTGGTGGAATATTATGCGAAACATTAAAAAAAAATATAATACATATTTTGAGAAATGTTATCAATAAGGGCACTCATTTAGTGAAAGGTATATGTAATAACGCCGATATCATTCGAATTGATGACTTCAAAAGATCATTTACATTATAGGTACAATATAAGATAATAGACGTACACTTTATAATAGAACCAAACTATGGAAAGCTATATGAGCCACTCGTGAACATATCTCCTCTTCCACGTCACGAGATGAGAGATACATCAATGTTCACTAGACACATGAAATATCCTATTTATCACATGCTTCCTTTGTTGCTGAAATTTAAGCGCAAAATCTAAATTCTCCCTACTGTACACAATGACCTTTTAATGCATGGCTTCCTGTACGCAAAGAAGATATATTGCCAATTTAAACAAATAATGAAAAAAATTAATAAACTCCATGAAATGGGTGGTCAGGCTCGCTGACTTGGTTGATGCATGTCATCGATCTCAATTGCGTGGATCGATGCTCTAGATGTCAATTGCTGGATTGTCTGATCCACACTCAATTATTTTGCATATTTTCATACAGCGGGAATATTGCTGAGTGCGGCGTTAAATAACGAACAAACAAACAAAGCATGCTGTAAAAATAGGAAGAATTTCAAACAAATAACGCATCAACAGAACTGTCATCCAGTAAATGTTTCACTGGATGTAAACTATTTTCAGTAAACACAGTAATGTGAGTGTCATTTTTCTGTCACTGCTGTGAACATGTCACTTTTCTGTATCTGCTGTGAACATGTCACTTTTTCTGTCACTGCTGTGAACATGTCACTTTCCTGTATCTGCTGTGAACATGTCACTTTTCTGTCACTGCTGTGAACATGTCACTTTTCTGTATCTGCTGTGAACATGTCACTTTTCTGTCACTGCTGTGAACATGTCACTTTTTTCTTTCACTGCTGTGAACATGTCACTTTTTCTGTCACTGCTGTGAACATGTCACTTTTCTGTATCTGCTGTGAACATGTCACTTTTCTGTCACTGCTGTGAACATGTCACTTTTCTGTATCTGCTGTGAACATGTCACTTTTCTGTATCTGCTGTGAACATGTCACTTTTTCTTTCACTGCTGTGAACATGTCACTTTTCTGTCACTGCTGTGAACATGTCGATTTTCTGTATCTGCTGTGAAAATGTCGCTTTTCTGTCACTGCTGTGAAAAGGTCACTTTTCTGTTTCTGCTGTGAGCATGACACTTTTTATGTATCTGCTGTGAGCATGACACTTTTCTATCACTGCTGTGAACATGTCACTTTTCTGTCACTGCTGTGAACATATCACTTTTCTACACTTTAGGAATCTCAGGCTTTCACACTGATATAATGCTCGTATAAACGATTGATTTAAATATTAAAACATATAAAAAACATGATGTCTTCATTCCGATCCACTGAAAGGGCCCAGACTTTTTGACTCGTGAAGATCCGGGGTAGAATAGCTCTTCAGCAACCCATGCTTGCCGTGAAGATCCGGGGTAGAATAGCTCTTCAGCAACCAATGCTTGCCGTGAAGATCCGGGGTAGAATAGCTCTTCAGCAACCCATGCTTGCCGTGAAGATCCGGGGTAGAATAGCTCTTCAGCAACCAATGCTTGCCATGAAGATCCGGGGTAGAATAGCTCTTCAGCAACCCATGCTTGCCGTGAAGATCCGGGGTAGAATAGCTCTTCAGCAACCCATGCTTGCTGTGAAGATCCGGGGTAGAATAGGTCTTCAGCAACCCATGCTTGCCGTGAAGATCCGGGGTAGAATAGGTCTTCAGCAACCCATGCTTGCCGAAAAAGGGGACTATGCTTGTCGTAAGATGCGACTAATGGGATCGGGTGGTCAGGCTCGCTGACGTGGTTTGATGCTTGTCATCGATCCCAATTACGTGGATCGTAACATACTTCAGGCTTAATATGATCAATATTGTATAAGATGATGATGATCGATCCACGTAATTGGGTATGTTACTGGTATCAATTAAGCATTGAATGTGATATCCCATGGTATAAAACCCGTACGGGATATTGTTGTAAAGGAATTAAAGATGTTAAGATTGTAGATTTCTAATAGAATTAACTAAATAGAGATGTTTGAAATAAACTGAAAAGAGTTGCTAGAGATGAAATTAGTTGATAACAGTATTTGTTCACATATATTTCATATATCTAAAAAATACACGACTCATGAGAAGCCCGTCATGGTTTATTCTCCCTCCAGTGTTTTACTGTACGATAACCAACGACGACGTGTCGTTTATTTCTTATCTGAAATATCAACATTATGTGAGTGAGTGAGTGAGTTGGGTTTAACGCCGCTTTTAACAGTATTACAGTTATATCGCGGCGTGTCAGCTGAATGTGGGAGGAAAGCCCGGAGTGATGCAGGTCTCAGACGTTTACCACTTCGGTTAAACCCACGAGCACGGGTATGGTGCTGACAAACCTAGAAACATAATCGGGGCGGACCGGGATTCGAACAATCAAAAATGTCAAAATTTGTCAAAGCGCGACATTGCGACAATGCGACAAATGGCAAAAATATCGCGTTGTCGCATTGTCGGATTGTCGCAATGTCGCGCTTTGGCAAATTTTGACATTATTTGCTTGTTTTTGGAAGGGCTACAATGCGACAATGTGACAAGGCGACAACGCGCCAATGTCCCTTGTAGTATTACATACGTAATCGACTATACGCGGTGGAGGTTTTCCGTCCCTGTTGTCACCTGGGCCTGTCTGAAACGTCAGACAATTATACTGACTGACTGTACGTAACGAACTGTGAACGTTTGTTAAACATGACGATGATGATCGATTTACCACAAAATAATCCATATCTGCGCTCAAGTGTAATCAACACGGCTTTAGACTTAGTGGAGTGATATTGACCAGTGGCGATTTTTTAGGAATGCACTGATTCCTCATCATAAAATCATTTTAAGCGCCTGCGACCCAATCATCGAAAACCAACCTTATTAATAATGGCATTGACAGAAATTGTGCACTCGTGAGATATACATGGGTACATTGCTAATAAACAATTTGGTCATACGGGTACTTTAATGGTAGGTGTGTGTAAACAGCCGCATGTTACAGGTGCGCGATCGTCAACCCGAATAACGTGGTACTTGTTCAATTTATGAAGTAGTATGTCCTTAGTGTTTCGATTACTATTTTCACTAATAACAAAAACAAATTAACTTGACGATCAACTCCTTAGGTGGTACTTAATACCCCCTTCGTTACTCCACATACGGGCGGTAAACAATGGAAAGTGATTTACAATGTTTCGCATCAGACCCCAGCTATGAATGCTACGTTAATGGAATTCCCTCACAATGACAAACAAGGACGAATGGTTCGATGATTTGCAATTATACCGACGCTCCATAGAGACGGTGATTGCCGTCACATCAACTGCGGAGTGTGCTTT